TCTGCAGTTAGTTACACGAATTCAGATATGTGATGAAATCGGATAGGGATGAACGGATTTAAGAGTTTTTAAGAGTTTAAGAGTTTTAAGAGTGTTTAAGAGATTTAGTCAAATGCTTTATAATATAGTATAGATATATATAGAGAGAGAGACTTGGGATCACGTGAGATCAGTCTGTTTTGTGATACTCGTGAAATCATTTTTTTCCACTTGAAACTTCACAACAAAACATTGTGAAGGTAACTTTTATAGTGTTTTTGTTGTGAAGGTTCCGATTTTATTTACCTTCACAGTGTTTTGCGGTGAAGTATCACGTGATTCCGAGTCTATATATATATATATATATATGTGTGTGTGTGTGTGTGTGTGTGTGTGTGTTTGAACCTTGCCATTGATTTCCCTCTTTTCTATCTGATTTAGGTTGGGATGGCGTTGGATGTGAGGATTTAAATGACGTACGGTTTGATACAATAAAACTGATTTATATATTTTTTTTTACTTTAAAACATTTTTAAGTGGTTACAAGTAATATTTTTGTTAGAAAGGTATAGATAATCAATTTTTAAAAGTTCAATGATTTATTCATTCAAAAAAAATGTTCAAGAACTTAATTATTGAAAATGGAAAAGCTTAGTAGCTTATTCATTAAAAAAAAATCTAAGGACTTAATGATTTAAAATAGAAAAGTTCCTTTGATTCTTTTTGAACTTTTTTCTTGTCATTTAGTTAATTAAAAATATAATAATTATATATTTATAAAAAAAAAAATTCACTGCAGACATTTATTTTGAATGGATGGAGTGATTTTCAAATAATATCATCAATTTGTGATTTTTTTTATTTCAATTGTTTTAAAGAAAATAATTAATGGTTTTTCTTTGTTTTATTAAGATTTGTGTAAAATGAGAGAGTTTAATATGGAAGGTAGATACATAATTACTTGTCTATTTCAAGCATTGCTTATAAGTTTTAAGGCAAATAGAACAATATTTAACGACAAGGGGTTGTTTACTAAACGGTCATCCAACAAATGAGTTTCGAGTCACTTTATCTTATCGAATGAACATACTAAGGATTGAGAATCTTAACCGGTAACAGCAATAACAAAGATCGAAAGTCTTATCCGGTAAATGAGAGTGATGACTCTTCCTTGGTAAATGCTTACCGGATAAAATTGTTCCACACAATGCTATTTTAATTGACTAAAATCTTACCGAATAAGTTAAGTGAAAGTGCTGAATCTTAAAAGTAAGCGCTTACCGAGTAAGCGCTTACCGTTAGGTAAACGACCCTTAAGTAAATGTGTTGCTATGTTGAGTAAGTGAAAACCAAGAGACCTTAAATATGCCTATTGTTAAAACCGTTTTTTAGCATGTTAAATATCAGGTTTTGAACGTCATGTGTTTATAGCCCACCTTGATGACAAAAGTAATACATCTCATGAAACTCTCTAATTTGCCGTTCCCTTTTCAGTCGTCTTTTCTTCTTGATTTGATGATTGAACTCTACAAAGGCTCAATAAACAAAATTGTGTATTTGGACTTCTGTCCTGGAACTTGAACCTAAAGTACAAGAGGAGACGAGAGAACCTATTCGAATGACGTTCGAACTCCACAAGTAGAGCAGATAAATTCAATTTCTTTTATGTTACTCTCTTCAACTTTCTCTGGTTAATTAGTATCAAATTGTTTATAATAAGACGATCTGTAAATCAATGTTATCGATATGAGATTTGTTTTTCTCTTCTTTTTGTTAATCTCGAGTGTTTGGACCAACTTGAGCGTACTTCGACTAATTTCATTGCCCCTTGGAGAATAATTAGGAAAATCCTTAATGAACTGAACTCAAATTGATAACTTGTACTAAGATAGAAGAGCTTCAAAGACCCAAACCTTATTATCAGTAACCTAAACACTTAGGGGCCGTTTACTAAACACTTACCTTGGTAAGTGCTTACCGGCTATATTACCTTATCGGTGAACATTACAAGGTAAGAGGGAAGACAATAATCGAGAGTCTTACGCAGTTAAGTGAGGGCGATGACTCTTACCCGGTAAACGCTTGCCGGGTTATAAATGTTTGCCGGGTTATCCATTTTGATGGCAAGGAATGTTACTCCATGAGGCAAGTGAAAGTGGTGATCATGCGGGTAAAAGCTTACCCGATAAGCGTTTGGTAAACAGCCCCTTACTGTATATTAGTTTTGGCCTTGACCCTTCTCTACATGCTATTTGAACCCCCTCCCTACTAATTTATTCTCACATCCATCTAACCTTAAACTCTTTCTTTTTTACATTTCAAATGCTTTGAATCAACTTGTACAAAGTAGCAACACCAAATGCATCACCATTGTATCACAATCACATGATGGAGCCAACAATCCTCTACAAACATGCATCATAGCCAAGTTCTAACAACTTTTAATAATACACAAGGTACAAGTTACTAGAGCATTATTGCTTCGTATATCGCCATACGAGTGCACGTAAAAGGTGGTCAGAACCACGACTCCAAACTACCTATACACGGTTTCGAGTATATATTGCATCAAGGAAAAAGCTGCACGTAACCTGTGGCTATTGCAACGCCTAATATGATTAGAGGAGGTAAAAGCACAAATGCTCCGATGATGGCAAAGAAATTCGTGTCGTTTCGTCGCGATACTTCATTTAGGTAAGCCTGCCTTTTTATATTTCTCTTCTGTGAGACGGTTAAAAGCTTTGGTATCTTTAATTTTTTGCCCAACCGAATGCTGAAATCGTCATCACGTTCACCTACTAATTGTGCTAGTTTTTCACGGATTGTAAGTTCTGCATAGTTTCCGTCACTTTCGTAACCTGGTAGGTATATAAACTCGTTATTGCTCTAGGCATACATATAAAGATCACATATACACCAAAGGGCTATTGCCCCATCGACATTCGGGTTACGAGTAGATCCCAACCTCCCTTTAGGTCAAGGGTCCAAACCTCATCAATGGTCAAGAGGGGGTGCGAGTTTTGTTGTGTATAAATATATACTTAAAAAAGGTCACATATATGAAAACTGACCCTATTTTGGTTCGACTTGCGAATCAAACCACCTAAAATCATAGTTTAAACCAGAGAAAATAAGATATAGGGGTAAGGGTTCACTACACAAATTTTGCTCTGAGCATCCAAAATGCAGGTCTTAAAGCACAAACAATGTGCAAAATCTTAATGTGTTATTTAGGTGACTAGTTACCAAATTTTGTGTAAACCAAACGTATATCCCCTCGGAAGTAGGGTCTAGAGGTAAGATGTACAAAGATCTTTCCTTTGTCCGAAAGCATAGAGATAGTACCAAAGTTTGTGTAGTTTACAATCTTAAATAACATTGGATTATTTTTTATTTACAAACAAATTGAATTACTTGAGAAAGAAATGATGTGATACAAATAAGGTTATGTTTGGAAACTAGCAGATAAGTTGCTTGCTGACTAACAAACTAGTCACGTTTGATAAAGCATAGCAAATAAACTAGATAAAAATGTAAATCGACCTAAAAGGACAAGTTGAATTCTAAAATATAAAGGGGCATAATTGGAAAAGGTGAAAAAAATCCCGCTGAGTTTATTGAAAAGCTATCCACGGTAGTTTTTCAAAAGCTAGCTTATAAGCTAGTTTATGGCTGACCAAACAGTTTTCCAAAAAGCTCAAAAATAAGCTAGCTTATGGTCCCAAACATGACCTATATCAATTCAACTATAATATGATTTTGAAGACATGGTTTAGTTTGAAACCAAAATTACGAAGCAATTTTTGCACTGTGACTAAACTGATGTGTCTCAAAATCTAACCAATCAGGTCTGGACTTACACCCAGAAGCAGGGCAGGGCAGTTAAGGAGATTGACAAGAACTGCATGTACCAAAGCTCCTGGCTTTGCTAGGTTTGTGAAGGAAAAACTTTGTATGCAATCTCTTGCAGTTTGCGAAAAGTCTGTTTTAATGACACAAACTCATTTGCTAAGTGTGGGGGTCCGTGCCAGCTTGCGCACAGCTCGACTAATCACATGGGGCCTTAAAGTTAACAGTCTGGAAAACCCTCCGGTGGCACTGAGGGGACTTGAACAGGTGATCTCTGGAAGCAAATCTAAGTTCGTACTAGTTGAGCTATCCCTTAGGGTTGACTCAAACTGATAATGGCCACAAAGGAGTAACCTCAAGATACTGAAAGGTTGTTGACTTACCACTAGGAGATGTGCTTGTGAGTTGTTCTAAGAGATCAAGCCGTGTGCGAGCAGAAGGTGAAGCTGCTGCTGAAAAAAAGTAGAAAGCCAGTTAGAACCGTATAAAAACTTATATTTCTGTTAATTTTTCAAGCCATTTCATGTGGCCTGTGATTATGCATTTGTGCATATACACTAAAAATAAAAGTCTAATTACCATGAAAACTCATTGAATAGTCGATAAAATATGCATGTAGCAAATGAATTGTGAAAATCACAACAATTTCAATTCTGGAATTTCCAACGAAGATCATTAACTATTCCTTCTCGGAAGAACTTTCAAGCAAAAATTACCTTTTGCCCATTATCAATCGTTACAAGTTATTGGTTATGGTCCACAAGATTCTCTATTTTGTAGTTATTTAAGCACATTTTAAACATTTTACTAAGCACATGTATTAAAAACACTTGTAGAATGGATGTAGATAATGTTTAGATAGCTAACATCGATTAATATTGATTATTTGTGGAAAAATAGGTGACTTTTTAGACTGGATTTACCAAAGTTGCAATTTTCATGTGACATCCAGAAGGGAATCCTTTTCATATTTCTATGGGAGGGAGTGTCATGATTCTTTTTAGAAAGCTCGAAAAACAAACTAATCCTTTATTGGCCATAATATCCTAAAACCATAACCGAGTTTTATGAGGCCTAATATTCTATTACAATAAACGGAGATGATATGGGCGACTAAGAGAGATATTCCCTTTGGTCCTAATACAAATTGTGGGTTCACTTGTGGAGAAGGTGTGATTTTAGCATCAAGTACATGCTTTGTTTACTAAGAAATAAGCTTACTTTGTGAAGGACGACAAGAAAGCAATCACAAACCATTTCTTAAGTCAAATCTAGTCTTACATCGTGTGCATGGATCTAATGGTGGTTCTTTGATCTTACTTACATCATCTAATGTCAGAGACTTGACTGTTGCTGCCAAGAATGACGTTTTTAAAACCCAAAATTGTAATATATTTTCTTTATACATCATCATCCTCTTATAGATCTAATGGTGGTTCTTTGATCTTACTTACATCATCTAATGTCAGAGACTTGACTGTTGCTGCCAAGAATGACGTTTTTAAAACCCAAAATTGTAATATATTTTCTTTATACATCATCATCCTCTTATACCGATAAGGCGGTAACACCTCCACTCCAAAATCAGAGTTCACCTTATAAGAAATAATTTCCAACAGAAAGGCCCCATTTGGGGTACAATAACCGAAATCAGTCAAGTGTCCCCTCATTAACTATTCTCAACCTTCGCCATTTCTGAAACTACATAGTCATCTGGTTTAGAGGCACTATAAATCAACAAATTACAGCCCCAGGGCATAGCACAGTTGGTTCCAATGTGGTATACTTGCACAAAATTAACAAACTCAACTGGTAAGGTTCTCGGTGTGCCACAGGAGGGTTTTCCTGACTGTTGGCTTCAAAATGCCCATGGGATTAGTCCAGCTGTCCAGGTGCTCGTAAGCTAAGAATCCAATCTCATACTGTGTAACAATCTGGAATTTTGTTTGCAGCACCTGATGATTACTATTTTCATTACATCTCGATCATAGATTCTTCTATATGATTCATAGCGGCAGTTCAACTCTTACTTTTGGAAATTAAAACCTATTACTTCCAAAATTCAAATTTCAGATTGTTCTTCCAGTTTTTCAGAATAATTTGTTTTGTGTTGCAGGTTTTTAATATGATAATACAGTTAATAAATCCTTTCTTAGCAACAAAAATAAGTCTTATCGATTTTTACGCTTCAGAATCAAGCATGAACCCTAGCTCCGATAACGCTGAAACAATTTATAGAACTTCCAGACTCAGGAATGGAGGAAATCCGGAATATAATCCGATATACCTGAAGCGTTACGAGAATCGTTCTCCCCGATGCTTCCGTCTGTTCCTTTTTCCGACAGAGCAGCTACGGTTGTAGTTGAAGAAATGAAGTTGAAGTTTTTAGTTTTGTGAGGAACGAGAAGCGAATATTTGGGATGAATACAAACCCTAGAAATAGTGTAATTCATGAATGCCATTGAAAATGATCTCTCCTTTCACCATAATTCTTCTTTCCTTTCTTGTATGTTCATCCATGGAAGGTTTCTTTTTTGTATCGTCTTTTTGCTGATTTATGTGTGGGTGTGGTGAGCCTTTGTTGGCAAATACAATTTATAGGGGCCACAAATATTGCATTAAGGATAGAGAAATTTATAAAAATAACCATTTAATACAACCATTTGTCATAAAATAACCGGGTTTTTAAGGTTTTTGTGTTTTGACCATCCAGATCGCTCCTGGGGGCGATCTATACATGTGAGGGGCGATCCACATTAAAATTATTTTAAAAAAAATTCAGCCTTAAAAAACGAAATTACTGTTCACCCTCGAAGACCGCGTTTGACCTCGCCCTAGGGGCGATCCAGCCTTTTAATTTTTATTTTTTTATTTTTTTGTGGTATTTTTAATAAAACTGGTATGCCATTTAAGTTGTGTTTTTTAACTTTTTTAGAACCAAAATTCATGGGTAAAAGTTTAAAAATAAACCATTATAATTATGGAGACGCAAAAATTCAAAAATTATTTTTATCTGTTTTAGGTTTTGTAAATCAGATATAATATATGATTTACGAAATTTGACCTCTATTTCGTCATTTTGTGTTTTTTATTTAACAATTAAGGGGTGTTTTTAATAAAAATGGAAAAAAAAACATAAATTGTGTCTTTTTACGTATTTAATTTTAAATTTCATGGTTTTTCGGTATGAAATAAGACAATGGTAATTGTGGTTACAAAAAAAATAGCTGATTTTGGGAGAAAAAACCATACATTATATCTGATTTCGCGGTTTTTCATGTTATGACACTCTATGACGTCGATTTGACGATGAATTTTGTTTTATTACTTAACGTTTTATATAAATTGGCGGTGGGGGACCATAAGTCTCCATCCATCCCCACCACCGCTTGTTTTCTCTAGAAAAACCGAGCGAAAAACTGAGTTTTGAGTATCCCCACCGACAATCCCGACCAAGAACGACCACTATTCCGCCGCCACCGACCACCGTGATCCGCCGCAGTCGGCCACCATCCCCCGTCACCGACCATCGTCATTCGCCGCCATCCACCACCTTCCGGCGCCAACAACCACCGTCAAGCGCCGCCATCCACCACCCTCCGCCCGCCACCAACCACCGTCAACCGCCGCCATCCATCACCGTCCGCCGCTACTATGGAAATACCGGTAAATACTCTATCTATCTCTATATGTATATGTATCTATCTATATATATGCATATGTATCTATCCATATATGTATATGCATCTATCTATCTCTCTCTCTCTCTCTATATATATATATATATGTATCTATCTATATATATATATATATGTAACGTTTATATCGTTTTTTTTACATTATGCATCTCTCTCTCTCTATATATATATATATATATATATATACTTTACCGCAATTTATATCGCTTTTAACCCGTACACATATACGTACATACATACGTGAAGATAAGTAAATATGCGTACGGGATTTAACCCGTACACATATATACATATAAATACTTACGTGAAGATACGTAAATATTCGTACGAGTTTTAACCCGTACACATATATACGTATAAAATACGAAGTTTCAATTTTTGTACCGTTCATATCTTTTTTTACGTAATGCATCTCTATGTATATATATACGTTACTGCAATTTATATTGCTTTTTTTTACGTAATGTGTATATATATATATATATACGTTACCACAATTTATATCGTTTTTCTTTTACATTATGCATATATATATATATATATATATATATATATATATATGTAACATCCATCTTCCTAATACGCTTAATTATGTGTTGAAAACATCGACTTTTCGGGTATGGTTTTGAGTATTGGGTTCTAACAATGGAATATTTTTATTGGAGCTTGTAGGTTATCTCGATACGGACGCGTAGGCGAAAACCTCATCGAAAACGGAGTCCCGAGCAAAAAGTTATGCAAATTTTTTTTAGTATTTAGGGGTCAAAACGGGTACCCAGCCGGGTCAACCCGACCCAACTCGGGATTTAGGTCGCAAATCATCAAATCAACCCCATTTTTAACCCCTTTTTTCTCTCAAAATCAGTCTTGGTGTTCTAAGGTGCGATTATACACACTTGTGAGTTAATCTATCCCTAAATCAAGTGTTTTATCAAGATTATTGAAGGATTTATAGAGAAATCGAAGGTAAAACTCATATTCTATCTTCATTTTGATGACATGCATAGAGTTTGAGTCCTTGCATGTGATGATTTACAGATGAAATAATGAAATTATGTTAGGACTAAGTGTTATTATTAGTTAGTATGTGAAATCCAAGGATGTATTGTAAGATTTCTCGAAAATGTGATGTTAGCTCAAGAACAAGTGTTGAGTTTTAGGAGTCAATTTGAGATACAATGAAATTAGTAGAAATTGATGTTATAATCATGGTTTATCATTGATTTATTGTGGAATTTGGTAAAAATAAGTGAAACTATGAATTTGGAACTTATTGGGCTAGTATTGGTAATGTTTTGGAGGAAAATGGGTGTTTTAAGCATTTGATAGGATGATTACAGCCCTGTTTTTGGAAAACCATAGAAAATCATAGAAAATTCGAAAAACTAGGAATAAATAGGCCCTAGAAAGGTAAGAGAAAAGGCTACAACTTGTCTTTAGATCTGAATTGGTGATTTTGAGTTTTAAAGGGGTAAAACAGCTCTGCAAGTTGAGTATTTATATTGAAATCCAAAGTAGAGTACCTTAATCGAAATAAGGTTTGAGTGAGTTCTTGTTGTGCTTCACTAATGAGACTTTGAATATATCTTCTAGGGATTGTTTGAGCTTGTATGGAAGTCTTGGAGGTGGTTTTCCAACTTTGATTTGGAAATGGGATTCGACCACTCGGTTTGACATTCGGTTTAATTCAACCGAATTCTATTGTGAGTTTACTTGGATATATGCCTATTATGTGCTCTATAGGTGTATGTGTTACCCATATTGTATTCATAATTGTTATTTCATGGTTACTTTTATTCTATGCCTGTATCACTCCTTATATAGACCAACCAGAGGATAGACCAACCAGAGGATAGACCAACCAGAGGATAGACCAACCAGAGGATAGACCAACCAGAGGATAGACCAACCAGATGATAGACCAACCAGAGGATAGACCAACCAGAGGGCCTCTGGTCCTGAAGGACTTAGAGTCCAGAGGCTCTGGTCTATACAACCAGAGGCTCTGGTCGTCCAGAGAGGCTCTGGTCTATACAACCAAAGGG